AATTTTTTCCAATAAAAATTATTGTGGGAATTTAATTTAATTCTAAATTCAAATTTTGGGTACTTGAGTGGTTTCCTAAAGTTTGTAATTGAGAGAATTTAATTTAATTCTAAATTTAAAATTTTAGATTCCTTAAGAGGTTTCCTAAAATTTGTACCTCTTACTTTATTTTTTAAACTATTTTGAATCTGTTTAATATATATATATATTCAATAGTTTAATATATATATATATATATTCAAATAGTTTATTTACTATTAAGTTCCAACAGGTGTTATGTACTTCTAACAGGTCACTTTTTCATAATGTTTGAAAATGCTCCGGTTTTGCCTAACGGAAACTTTCAAAAACATGAGTGTGACAAATGTGTTTATATTAAAAACACAGATAAAGGTTATGTCATTGTATGCCTTTATGTAGATGATATGCTCATCATTGGTAGTAATAATGACATGATTAAAACTACCAAGAAAATGTTGAATAAACATTTTGACATCAAGGACATGGGCATTGCTGATGTAATACTTGGTATGAAAATTACCAAAACATCAGAAGGATATGCTTTGTCACAATCTCATTACATTGAAAAAATACTTGACAAATTCAGCAAAGATGATGATCATCTTGCTAGAACTCCTGTAGATGTTAATTTGTATCTTTTAAAAAATGTACAGGAAAGTATTTCTCAATTAGAGTATGCCCAGATTATTGAAGGCTTAATGTACTTGATGAACTGCACTCGCCTAGATACATCTTATGCAGTAAGTAAATTAAGTAGATAAACGAGTAATCCAGGAGTAGAACACTGGAAAGCAATTATAAGGGTTCTTAGATATCTCCGATTTACTCGTAACATTGGGCTTAATTATACTAGATATCCAGCAGTACTTGAAGGATACTGTGATGCAAATTGGATATTGGATACAAGAGACTCAAAGTCCACTAGTGGATATGTCTTTACTCTTAGTGGGGCAGCTGTATCTTGGAAATCTTCCAAACAGACTTGTATTGCTAGGTCTACTATGGAATCTGAATTCATAGCTTTAGACAAAGCTGGAGAAGAGGCAGAATGGCTTCGCCACTTCCTTGAAGATATTCCAATATGGCCAAAACCGGTGCCTGATGGTAGCCTCTGTACGCATCAAGAAATCTAATTCGGTTGTGCTCCGCCGTTAGGTCCACTAGTTGATCTATCTGTGGTAGAGGAAAGCTGTCTTTTGGGCACGCCTTGTTGACTGTTTTGTAGTCGACGCAGACACGCCATTTGCCATTCTTCTTTGG